AGACCATGAACACTGGAGATGGGGACATACTTGTCAAACTCGACTGCCGTTTAAGTTGTTGTCCAAAATGATATCTATGACTTCAGATTCAGATTCTTTATTGTCCCAAAAGGGGAAATTTTGAATAGTCACCTTGCCAATCCCTATGATAGTTTATTCTGTGCAACTCAAATGACTTACAATGACTAATGGCTAATTGCAGAACATTGCAGTTGGACGCACAGATCTTAAAAGGAGCCTTGGCGTCACAACTAAAACTGAATATATATTTTCTACATTTGGAATAATGAAAGCTTCATATTTCATCAAGTGTCTCTTGTCTCTTAATAACTTTTGGCTCTTTAAAAAAAGGAAAACTTTTGGATATGACTTTAAATAGAGCCATCACATGTCTCTCCAGCTCTCTGTTATATATTTAGGAAATGGACCAGTGGAATACATTATTTACACTCATAGACTGGATCTTGACATGAGGAAGTTCAGTTCACTCATATTTTATCCAACAGGATTCTTGACTTGCAGTCATGGGCATACGATTAAAGAATCACTACTAATAGACAGTGTTGTTTGTTCCATTTGTGTTCTAGATAGCTTATAATATTTAACAAAACAATCTCTCATATGCGATAATTATGCTTCAAATTAAGCAGGGTCAATGCACAAGAGAGAACCAGGTGGCTTTGAAGCAGCAAACAACAGTGTTGAAAAACCTGGGGTCTGGCTGAGTTGACTGACAATTGGATGTGTTAGAGCTGTTTGTCAGGAGGCAACATGCACCAAGCTTCCAGCTAGGTTGATCGAATGTTATGGGAAGGTAGACTTCACAATATGGCTTGGGCTTCTTAATGTTTCTTCAGAAACATATTGGTCCTACATCCATGATTTACACAGTCTAGGGTTACTTCTCAACATGTACAACGGTAATGATCGAAAAAGAATTTAGTCTTCAAATGATTTGTGAGCATAATTGTGGAATGGAGCATGTATTTTTCTTTCTTTCTTTCTTTCTACAGTAAGATTATGTCTTAAAAACACTTTTGTGATTGTGTTGAGCAACATATCAGTTTGGAAAGCACAGATCACAGCCTTCTTGGCAGAAAATCTAATCTGGCAAAGAGGCCATGAAAAGAACGTTGTGAAATAATCAGTGAATGATAAACAGACAATGAAGTTTTTGTTGAATTAATTTACAACATCTATTACTCCTTTCTGAGAGAAGGACTCTCTGACCTAAAAAGACTAATCTGTGAGATAAACCAGGTGTCAGACGAGAAGCCAATCCTTGAAGATATCATTTAAATGTCTGTCTTCCACATTTTAGGGCAACAATAGTGAACAAACCTCCAGCTGACATGTTTCATTTAAAGCCAAATAAAACCAATTAGATTAGACTTACAGCTATAAGGGAACTGCAAGGACATTGCTTTTTTCAAAAGGCAATTTAAAGAACATCGCACCCTTTGTTTTCGTATCTTAATTGATTTGGTGTGTTTTTTTTTCAAAACTCAATCATGCCCTACGTCACATACTACGACGACTCTGGTTGCAAATTCGCAAAGTGAGTGCCCATCAAGACGATTTTCTTACCTCAAGCGGTTCAACAGAAAAGACGCCGTCCATTATACAGCCCATGGGTTGGACTGGGGGGATTCAAGCCAAATCCAAACATTATGAAACATATTTAACCCTCAAAGTGGATCAAAAAAACACTGAAGGAAGTGCCTTCCCATCAGTGTGGACACATAGCTCAGAACAACAAACCCATGGGGAACTTGACTTCACTCTCTTTTTAAGAAGAAAATTCTGAATAAGATATCCTTTATTGATCCCTTGAGGGGAAATTCAATTGTACACTCTGTTGTTGAGACATGCTACACACACACACACAGGCTGAAAAACATGCACAAACGTGTTTTATTTTGATTGGTCAGAGAGGTACAAGTGGCATTGACGGTCCAAAAGTTGAACTATTTTCAACTTGGAGGGAAAAAACAGCTGATGCCAAGGGCGTGTTTGCACTTAGGATGCTAAAGCTAAAACGCGGAACGGCATTGGTTTTGTATAAATGGGCGCTGCCAGTGCAAAAAATGACATTAGTGGACTAATGATCCTTTATTATAGCTAATTTAATTAGTCATGTAACAATTAAGTAACATTATATTATCATTAAACATTGTGTTTAATGCACTTTCAATGATATTTAGACTCTGATGGTCACAGAAAGTCTCTTGAGATGTATGCCCTATAAATATCTTTCCTATTGTTTTTCTCACACACACACACACACACACACGCACACACACACACACACTCTTTTTATTGAGTAGTCTACTAGTCAGACTCTGAGATGTCTATATATGGTGTAAAAAGGGCAGAGTGAAATAATGACGTGATCTTGGCCCTCTCAATCAAAGTTGTTTTTGGCAAAATTGCTCTTTAGTTTTACCTCAGCAGTCACTTCTCTCCCACTCTCTCACCTCTTGAGAAGTCCTGAGTTATTTTCAGCCAGTTTTTACGAGTAAAAGGATGAACAGAGCATCAAACATGCCTTTTTAGAATCTTTATCATGAAATAATAAGCTTGTATGTAATTCAGTATCGTATATATTGTAAGAAAAACATATTCTGAAATATAATCATCCCCTACACTTTGCAAACATCACTCACATGAGCATATTTCAGCAAATGTATCACCATAGACATAAAGATACACAACTAACTATTTAATTGAAAAATGAAAATAAATTACTTGAATTAGTTGATTTTCCAGATGACTGAGATTGGAGGATGTTACCAGATGACTGAACTTGACAGTATGCTATGACCATAAAATGGGTACATGTACTTTAAGTGTGTGCAGGTGTGGATTTTGAGTTACAACTTCTCATGGTTGAGCACATATCATGTGTGTGTGTGTGTGTGTGTGTGTGTGTGTGTGTGTGTGTGTGTGTGTGTGTGTTTCTCTGTTTTTTCCAGTAAGGAATGACTCACTCACTTAGTCCTTTAGTCATTTTAAAGATTAGTCAGATTCTTACAAGCTGACTTTAAACACAGCCTGCAGAATTGGTTTGTTAAAAACTGATGCGGCACAGGTCTGATCATGTCTCAGCAGATTTGACCTTTTTAGTGCTTCATACCTCTCTGTTATGTTTGTTTACCCAAGTAAACAAACATAAAGGCTAAATGTCTGAAAATATTTTGGAAAATGAAAAACAGACAACACATCAATAGACAGTCATCTGGCTTGTCATACCGAAGCCTGTTGTAATAAACCCACACTACTCTGATCCAGGGAAGTAATATTGTATAGTTCACTATTTTAACATTTCTGTTAACTGTGGTGGCTTTTTGTAGTACCACTTCTTCTAATTAGTAACTTTTATTAAAGCACCAAAAAAATCAATTATTGAAATGAGGAATCCATTACAAAGAGTTAAATGGATACTTTCTGAAAACACCTCAAGTGAACTCAGCGTTATAAGAAAATGATCTAAAGTGTGTTTTCTGACGATAGTTTGAAAAAAAACCCTGTGATAAATAAAGTGTGTGTGTGTGATCATTTAAACTTTTAGAATAGGGTAGGGTTTATATGAAAAATAATTAAATAATTAATACTTTGCCACATTCATTATTTTAACTGTGAATAACAATTAAGTTGCATAACATGATAAAGTGCATGTCATATGTCATCTATTTAATGTGGGGTAGACTATGTTTCTATCTGAGAGTGCAGGGTGATAAACTGTCTGACAGAGAGACGGCCAAATGGGAGTCACTCTGATCTGAGAGGTGGGGGATGGGGTGTGTGTGTGTGTGTGTGTGTGGGGGGGCAATAATGAGATACAGATGGTAACGGTATGTCTATACACACACACACACACACACACACACACACACACACACACACACACACACACACACACACACACTTATTGTCCTGCAGTCTAAAATACACTCAGACTGATTTTTTTTCCCAACAGATTCAATTTCCGGTTGAAATCTCTCTCTTTTTCTTTTACTTTCTTACAACAACGTACAAATTTGACAGATTTTATTTACATCCACACACCCAATGGTTTCTAAAAATTTGCCTCCAAAGTAACAGAGCCAACCAAAAATAAATTGAAGTTATCTATCAAACCAATCAGCCATTTGATTGTCTCTACTTTCTCTGAACTCATAATATTTGTGTGTGCTTCTTTGAACCTGCAATAACAGATTATTTTCATTCAGAGATAGCTAAATTCAGCTGAAACACAACACTGACATACATTCACCTTATTGGGGGGATCTAGCATATTTACAAGAAAACAGTGGCATTTTCAACATATTCTGAGGATATTACTGGCAGAAGACTTTTTCAGTTTTCCTTCTGTCCAGCACTTCAATGTAAGTATATCATTCTAGTTCTTTTTGTGTCTGTTTCGTTCTCCACTAACTCCTAGATAAAATATGAGGTGCTATGGCAGCTTTATCATCCATCAAGAGACGTTTTGCTAAAAAAAAAAAACATCCTGTCATGGCAAAGAGAGCAGTTAAAGCACACTAAAACAGTAAAGTTGTGGTTCGAAACAGGAGCTCAAAGATCCTGAAACTCATTTGATTCACTGTTGATATTAAAAATGTAGATTTTTGCCTCCTTAAGAAAATCAAATTTCCCTGTTGCTTTGATGCTATGTTAATAAAATATAAATGTCGGCTGACTCTTTGACATAAAATTTGGATTTGTGCCTGGAGACTCCATAAGTCTCTACTTCCAGCACACGTTCTGATTCATCTGACCACACACACACACACACACCCACACACACACACACGCAAACACACACACCAGAGGTAGTGAGTTTGTCTGGAAGAGGCAGAGACGGAGAGGAGGAGGTCTGGGAATGCTGAAGAGGGGAGGAGATCTGAGGGGGGGAGGAGAGGTGGAAAGTTGCAACTTCAGGGCAATATGGACCGCATGCTTTGGGAAAGAATGCATGTAGGAGAGTGAAAGAGCAAATGACAACGAAGACAGGAGGAGAGAGGAGTGGGAGGAAAGAAGCAAGGAAGAAGGGAGGGATCTAAGTCGAGGCTGCAGCGTGGCTCTGTGTCTGAATGAAAGAACCTCTCTCTCCCACTCTCTCCTGCGGTCTGCATTGCATGTATGGCTAGTGTCTGCTGCAGCAAGTGAGCACATGTCCAGAGCAAACACAGCGAGGCTCTGCCACTGACTTCAAACTGGAAGTAAATATTTAGCAGAAACTTCAGCAAGTGGTGGCTCTTTTGGCTCTCTATTTCTCAAGTTCTTGGATTTCATTTGTCTTTCTAAGAATCTGGACTACCTCTCATCAATGGGACTGCTTTTTTAAGAATACGTTTCTAGATGAGAACTAATTTTTGAGAACTTATCTTGTGATGGACATCCAGTTTCAGCAACTGTATCCATTCAACAACTTGTGATTCAAAGAAGCTTTTGTTAAGTGAGACAGACTGAACCTCTCAGGACTTTGGGACATTGGGTCTGACACACTACGTTGACGGCTGCACTTTAAATCTCCTCACCATCAAGAGAGTTCACTGGATCTGGATTAGTTTCACCTGATTTGACCTCATTAACACACCTCAAAAGGGCAATTTCAAATGCAAGTGTAGATAAATTAAACCAGAGCAATTCTAAGAGCTTTGTAGATCTTCAACTAACTTGCAGCCAGGTGTGATGCCGAGTCAGTGTGTTTGACACACGGTTCCCTTTGAGACAAATGAGGGCATTCAAAACTACAAAACTTTTCTCCAACGCTCAATTTAAATTCTGAAACTGATCCAACTGACATTTGCATTGTTGGATCAAGAGCAAAAATATCCAGAACTGTAAGACAGACATTACACCATGACCCTAGTGACCTGTGATCACTTTCCTCACCTCCTTCCCCTCGTCCTGCTGTTGCTCCTCCAGGCCTGGCAGGGGTGCTGTCACCCGCAGTGTTTGGACTACAAGCCTCCGTTTGAGCCCCGACAGCCACTGGTCTTCTGTAAAGAATATTCAAAGTTTGGATGCTGTGATCTGGAGAAAGATGGGGAAATATCAGTCAGATTTTACAACATCATGGCAAACTTTGACCATTCAGGCTACATGACCTGTGGCAAGTACTTACGCAGCATCCTCTGCCAAGTAAGAAAAACATTCTATTGTTCTCATAATTTGTGTAATTTACTGTAAATCCATATATGAAAGAAGTTATATTTTGTGTCAATTGCAGTTGTATGCTATTGTACTGAAAATGAGCACCTGTGACCCGCTAAAGTTCAAAGAAATAAGCAATAGAATTTTTTTTTATGAGGAATATGAATGAAACTTTTTCAATGAGTGACTGCTGTCACAGATAAAGTTGTTCCAAATATGTCAGGAATAAAAGTTGAACATGTGGCTGACAAAGTGTTTGCCATGTTTCATAATTTGAGCCATTTCTTCCTCTCCCGCTTATTTTGTCAGCTAGCTAATAATGATTCAATTAACTTTACCAATCTGAAGGTACAATTTTCCCTCTCACTGCTAAAGAAGCTGTGGTTTGGTTTGTCAGTGAAAGCTGATCTCTCCAAAGAGCACTAACCAACAAAACATGTGGTTAAATGGCTACGTGGGGGTGTTGACATCTGTTAGACAGCGTTTTACTCATGCTTGGAGAGCTGAACCACAGGTTTACTGGTGGACCTGTGTGATTTGATGGGTAAGCTTGTAATTGGACTTTGTAAAGCTAAACACAAACAATAATGGACTGCATTGACTGTGGTCTTGAATAAAAAACATAAAATGACCAATACTGGGTAACAAAATGTCTCCAAAACTAAGGTATTGTGTCGAACAGGTTAAACAACGGCTTGGTTTATTTTATTTTGTTAATGTAATCCGTATGAATCAACATTGTTTTGTCTTCTCCAGATTCCAAAAAGCTTAGTTTTTTCTATTAAGACACAGACATAGGCATGAGTAAGCTGGACTCCATACCCTGAAGGTGAATGAGTACAAATGGATGCAAAAAAAACTCAATAGCACATTTAACTGTCCTTTTCATTTTTTTTTTGGTAATTTCCATTAAAAAAACAATTCACGTCATCATAAGATTACCCACAGTTAAAAACTACATTAACCTTGATTCTACAGAAATATCAGTGACAGACAAAAAAATGGTGAGCATACAAACTCAGTTTGTTAAAAAAGTAAAAACTCACAAGTACAGTAAACTGATTGTGTTGAAATTTACATTTGCTCCCACATTTCCAGTTTTTACTTTCCTTTGAATGCAACAAGGAAAACTAAATAAGCCTGACAACGCTTTTAGAAATCTACTTAAAAGGAAAAAAAGTTAATGGTTATTTAATTTAATGAGTGTTTCTATTTCAGTGTCACTGCTTTTTGGTGTACTTTTAGAGCTGGCTAATCTTAGGCGGATTCCAGGCGTAACCAAACTCTCGACAATTGGCAGAATGAGGCTTGAGGCCGGTCCCACATACTGATCGCATAATTAAATGCTGACTTTGCAGCAATGACACTAACCATGTGCAGTATTTAAGTGAGGTGTAGCACAATTTTGTCAAGGCTCATAAACCTTTGGATAAGAATCTTAATTTTGCAGAAGCCAAGACCAACAATATTTGGGTAGTTGAAAGAAGTTAGTGAAAGTCTTCATTGCACTTGAATGCATCACAAACTATCTTAGGACACTGACAAATCCACTGACTTGTAAAATATAGGTTTCAATCATTATGGTAATTATAGCCCGCTGTGGTTCTTTCCAAGCAGAGCAGGCTGCGTCCTGAGAGTAATGACAGTGCAGCAGCGCACATACGATTTACAACAGTTTAGTTTAGGGGATAGTTTGAGCTGGAGTTCAAAACAAAGTAAATATATAAAGCTTAGAAAGGGCCTTCTACATAAGATTGCATGCAGACATTCTTTCAACCAATGAGCTCATTTAAATAACAAGGTTGGAATTGTTTGCAGAATATTGCAGGCATACTTTATATTTGCATGTCAAATATTAACTTAGAGGTACATGGAAGTAATGATTTCAAGCTTTCCATTTTTTTTATTTCTGTCTTTTGTCCAATGGGATGACCCCAACACTGTTGGCTGTGTGCCTGCTGGTGCTTTGAATACTTTTTATAGACCCTTTGTTCAGATTTCTTTTTGGATCCACTTTTTGGAGCCACTTGAAACTTATATTTTAAGCTCCCAGGTTTCTTTTTTTTTTTTTAGCAAAAGATGCCCTGGAGACGCTCATGTTACCCCATTGGTTCTGATCCTGGGTAAACGCTCCACACTGTAGGCCTCTGTTCAAGCTGCACTGCAGGAGCTTCCTGGCTTTGGTATTAAGGAGACAGTGAAAAGAGAAACAGAGAGAGACAGGCTGATGGAGGGAGAGAAAGACAGACAGAGGGGAAATTAAGTGTGAATAGATATGTGTCAGGGAGACAGGAGGGAGATTTTTAGCTTAACTGACTAAACAAACCACCATTTCCTCCTCTGGCTTCGGGTACAGGGTATATCATGTTTCTGCAGAGAGATAGTAGACAAAAAGCAAGAGGGGACTAAGGGGATATAAAAAAGAAGACAAACTAAATACAGATATATCAACACAAACGAAACACACAGTGGGAAGAATTATTGAGTTAAAAGTTTAATTGTATGGTGCTGCTTGGTTACAGAGTAATCCCAGATTCATAAAGTACGTGTACACGTACTTTACTTAAGTTAAAAGTTGCCCTCGGGGAGCACAATGTTCTATTGAGGTAAAGGGGTACTATGAGCTCTTTAAGATATGGTCTGCCTATTAAGACTTTTGTGGGTGAAAAGAAGGTTTTAAAATTATATTCTAGATTCAGACCATTATAAAATAATGTATGTCTCTGAGGTGTATGGGCCTTTCTGCATAAGAAGCAAAACATTTCTGATCATTCAGGCCTTAATGTCCTAAAGGTGTACTTTTGGTTTAAATAGCTGATGAGTTTCACCTGGCTTCAATGATAAGTAGAATTGAGTGTCGTCTGCGTACGTTGGAAGTTAATGGTGTGTTTCCTCATGAAGTGACCTAGATGTAAGCTTAAAAGAATTGGTCCAAGTATCATACCTTGTGGAACCTGGTTGCTAACTTTGATGTGCAAATATGACTTAACATTAACATGTAAAAACCGAGATAATTCTGATATGATTTAAACTTACTTAGCAACCCTAAGATCTAACAGGACCAGTGCTGAAAATATTGATATTGCTCCAGTGTGCATTGGCAATGTTGGCTAGTCCACTTTCATCCATTTCAATACAAGTTCTTCCTGTCCAACATTGCAATCACCTTTTCTCTAAAAAAAAGAATCCTCTTTTGAAAATCATAGGAACTGAAAGAACCCATATTTGTGTAAAAGAAAAAAATAACAGTAAATCAATCCTGAACTTAGGAATAATTTAGTACAATCCTTGGGTTGGGAATCCCAGGGTGGTCCCCTAGGTCCCATTACTACATTTTTCCTTTATAAATGTAACTATTAATGTTGTTGTGTATGGAGATTTTTGAGCATGGCGTACACACAGAAATGCACAGAAATGCAGTGCTATACACAGTTTGAGTGTAAAAATGTAAAAGTTAAGTATGTAACTTTATGAATCCATGTAGTTTTGTTTGCATTCTTGAACTTTCTATCATGGCTCCATATTAATTTTTTGTAGGTAAAACAGTGAGAGTTCTCCTTGCACATATGTATTTTGTTACTTGCCATCATAGTGTGTGTTAAAGCTGAAGTCAGTGCTCAGGCTCTGTCTGCATTGCATTGATTAAATTTGAATTTAAAAAAGCCTTGAGAACCATTTTAGAGCAATTATTGGGACAAAAGAAAACTGAATCGCTTCCCTCTGTCATTGTTAAGCACCTTTAGGCCCTCTAGTAATGTTTCTGCATGTTTGCTCTACCAGCAGCAAAAATGTTGTGGATTTTTAAACTTCCAAATATCAGCATCTGAAATGTTGCACGTTTACCCTCCATCATTTATTTTCACTCTTTTATTCTGGGGTCCAGTCAAGTTTCCAATTAACTTATTTGCCATCCATCTGCTTGCCATGACTCTTCTTCTCTCTGTTACATATTAAAACACCATGTGGGCCTTACTGTATACAGCACAAGAAGTCAGGAAAACACAGCACATGGGGAAAAAAAGCTTTCATATCCTGCTGAAGTTTTAATTTTATTCTATTCTAAACTGTCTAGCAAAAACACCAAATTATAGCAGTTTGAAGTGGCTGCATTGTCAGGGAACAGCTGTTAGTAGTTACATGTATTTATCCTAACCTATCATAGCAGGCGCCGAAAGAAGAGAATGTCTCAGAATACAATATATTTTTATTTTACTATAGACGCTGAAGACCAAACAATGCACTCTTTACTTTCCCCTTTTACTTACTTCCAGGATATGCTATTTCATCTGAAACACCGGCATGACTCTGACGATAAATACAGTGTCCTACTATGAGGAGCGTTCACTCACTTGCCCTGGATAAAACAATACATCTTATATCAATGCTGATAATGTTCTATGCATGCATTATTTGTGTTTTCTGATGTAAAAACCTATTCCACGCTATGATTTTTTTTTCACATCAAAAATATAAACCAAGGCTGTTTTGGCAGAATGCTAATATAGTCACCTCATCTGACCCTGACCAGGTGCTATAGCTACAAGCATTTAAATAACTTCTTGTTGATCTTATGTATGTTTCATTGTCAGATAAAAACTCCTCACAGGAGCTTTAAAGACTGTTACAAGTGTTATAAGTCTACTCAGTGAGTCTTCCATCTGCTCTGCAACCCAGTTTGCTTCAGGAAGTTCCTTCATCAATGGCAGCTCACACTGAAAACATCTTTTGTTTTCAACTAAAGATATTTAACAAGAAGTCTCTGATCTCTTTCCAACAACGCACTTTTACTTTCATGTCACATAACAAAAATTCACTGTTATAACTTATGTTCTAGTTTAAGGGGTCCATCGAGGTAACACATCTGAAGTTGCATGAGGAAAAACATTTAAAAAGCCTGGAACTTAAAACCCCAAACAATGTTTTCTCCTAACAGTATTAAACTTATTTTTCATGGATTCCGGACCAAATAGCTGAGGTGTCAAACAGGCTCTAGAGTATTTGCCATGGATATGGGAAATCAAGGATCTCCAGGAAAATACATTTAAATAAAATGAACATCTAGGAAATAAGTGAGATTCAAAGGCACATTTGAGCTTAATTCTCAGAGAAAATTGAACACTGAAATGTTAAATCTTAATGTAGGACTATTGATACTATTTAAAAGAAAATGGACCTCTGAGTGTGCACAGACAACCACGTTTTGATTTTATGAAAGATACGTGTTATCCATTGTTAGGCGTGTAGCTGACATTATTGACAGGTGGGCACGACGAGGCTTAAAACCTGCCTCAGCTCCAGCTTTTAGCTGTTTTTAGGTTGACTGAAAGTTAGGCTGAGACAGGATTTCCAGCATGGCGGCTGCTGCCGATGAGCCTCCAGAGCCCCCTGCCGTAACAGATAGCTGACGTCACTCAGGCTTTGTACCATTAATATTTGCAGTCTACGATAGTCACCCATTGCTACCTTTTTTCTTTATAAATGTAACTATTAATGTTGTTGTGTATGGAGATTTTTGAGTGTGGCGTACACACATAAATGCACACAAATGCAGTGCTAGACAGAGTTTGAGTGTAAAAATGTAAAAGTTAAGTCTGTAACTTAACTATGCATTCATAGTTTTGTTTGCATTCTTGAACTTTCTATCATGGCTCAATGTTTTTTTCTTTCTTATAATAAATTCTTATTCGAATTATATATTGTAACTCAGAGAGAGAGTAACATTTCTTGTAATTGCAGGTGTTTGACAACATCATGAAAATAAATGAAAAAACGACTTTTGTCCATTTTGACATTATTTAAGAAGTGCATTTTTAGTCTGTGAAACAACAAAAATTTGAAACACATTTATCCGTCTCTAGGAATTGAGAGACAATGGCACATAAGGTTTAAAGGCCTGCAACTCTGTGAATATGACTAAGAGTCTGTCTAAGTTGTTTGATGTGTGTGCTGAGTAATTTAACTTTTTTTTGCGGTCAGTTTTTGCTTAAAACCTTTATTTAGAAGAACAAAGGTCAACAAAACACTTTCTTATATAAAGAAAATAAAGCTCACTATAATCTGCAGTAGATTACATTTAATAGAGATTTTATGAGTAAGTAAGTGATATTTTGATGCTTTGGTTTTTTGTTTCCTGGTGATGATTGGTGAAGTTAATCTGGCACTGAGTGAAGGCGCACCAGTCGGCCACACGTTGGTTGGGGTGTCGTGTTTTTTTCTGTGCCTGCAGCTTGTCATTCTGGGTGTGGACAGTGTGGTTGTGACTTAATAACTGACTGGACCTTTCTGGGATCCATTTATATCAGGATGCACTCAGACAGCCTGTGACCCAGGCCTGACCAGTCATAGTTAGGCGGTGAGGCAGAATAACTACGATACTGATGTGATCTGTAGACGTCCTTTACTCTCCTACTCTTACTCTTAAAGATCCATATGAAACCAGAAACATCCCTCAAGTACACAGATTGAATAATGAATGTTTCAGTGATTAGGATATTTATCTCTTTGCAGGAGTGTTCCCCATACTCTGCCCACCTGTATGACGCTGAAGATGCTAACACACATATGCGGATGCTGCCTGGACTGTGTCCTGATTACTGCTCTGAGTATTGGAACCAGTGTCGCTACACGCTCAGTCTCCTCCTGGAGGACTTTGGGGGCCCGCAGCAGTTTGCAAACCTGACTGCAACCATAGAAGAAGACAGCAGGAGGTTCTGTGACTTTCTGGAGCTGAAGGACAAACAGTACTGCTATCCTAATGTACTGACCAATACAGGTAATAAAGAAACACACATCAATGAAAACTCAGACATGTCTGATCAAAAAGCGAGCTTGGTTTGAGGAAAATCTAATCGTATAAACTTCTTTATTACTCCTGATGTACATAAACTACCGACATGAACACACAGGTTTTTAAATACACATTTTATTTGCCTTAACTACCAAGTCTAATTATGATTTATTGCCAGGCTTTGCCACTCCTCAGAAGGCACACTGGGTTTGCTGTTCGTTGAAAGCATAATTTTTGGCTGGCTTATTTTGCAGCAAAGCAAATAGTTCCTGTGTTTATATCACAGTCACGCAAGTTTAAGTGCAGGCAGATGATCATGATCTGCTGATGCAAAATATTGAATTCTTAATGCTCTTCTTGATATTGGTCTTTTGCATTTGGTGCACCTTTTCCTCAATGTTCAGTTAAACCCCATGCAAAGATTCCATCTGGATTTGCCACCACAATGAATGCCACAATAAAACAAAGCCTCTCTTTATGATGACACATCATTACCATGTATTCCTGGTTTTCTTGCTCATCTCTTGTCTCCTCTTCTCTGTTTATAGAGCTGAACGCTAACCTCGGCTTTGTGAGTGAAGATCCAACAGGATGTCTTGAGTTATGTTTGCAGGAGGTTGCAAATGGGCTCCGAAACCCTGTGGCCATGATCCACGCAGATGATGGAACTCACCGCTTCTTTGTGGCCGAGCAGCTGGGTTACGTTTGGGTGTATCTGGCTAACGGCTCCAGGATCGACCGTCCTTTCCTCAACCTCACTCGAGCTGTGCTTACGTCGCCGTGGGCTGGAGACGAGAGAGGATTCCTCTGCATAGCCCTACACCCGAGGTTTTACTTTCTCAACAATAATAGTTATCAGTATGGGCTATGATAAAACACTTGAGCTCATGTTTTAAGTCTTTTTTTGTAGAAAATGTCATGATGTGTTTGTGTAAAGTTTGCCTTTACCCTCTGTTTAGGTTCACTGTGGTCAGAAAGGCCTATGTATACTACTCTGTGTCTGTAAAGAAAGAGGAAAGGATACGTATCAGTGAGTTCACACTGTTACCACATGACGACAACCAACTTGACCACTCCTCTGAGAGGTGAGGCGTTCACAGTCTGAGGAACACTAGTTAAACACAGAAACAATACTTGAAGGCCAGTAAAGAAGCACGTTTTGTATGTTGCGTTGTTCATGGAGATCTCTGTGGCATCTATCAGCATGTAAGGTTTAGAAGGGAAATTAATTAAATTAAGTTTGTGTAAATGAAAAAAAAAAAATATTTAAACAGTATTTAAATATTGATGTGTTTAATTATCTGAAACATATTTTTAACTGTATTTCTTGAGTCTACTTTGAGCTAAATCCTCTTAGCCTCTGATTGGTTAGCTATGTGACCTGTGATTAGGAACCAGGAAGTGTCGTGAAGCTAATGAATGGAAGCGAACAGCTAAATGCTGCTTCAGAAAGTTACCTGTCTCTATCTCGCTGTTCCTTCCACACATTAGTGATCTGATGACCACATATAGAGCCCTCAGACTGCACATGCATGAGTGTTAGATACAAGTTATGTAAGTCGTTAAACTAATGTGCATCCTGGTTCACTGTATAGAACCATTCTTGAGGTGACAGAGCCAGCATCCAATCACAATGGAGGACAACTTCTGTTCGGCCATGACGGGTATCTGTACATCTTCATTGGTGATGGTGGACGAGCTGGGGATCCATTTGGAAAGTTTGGCAATGCACAGAACAAGTTAGTATGATTTAACAAATATATGTGCCTGAAGGAGCCGCATCATCATGTTGATTGTTGTATTTGCTAACACCTTACCTTAAAGCTCCTGCAGTGGAGCTGTGTTGTTGTTAGGGAATGTGTTTCCATGCCACAACAGACAACCTGTAGATAAACAGTTCAGCTATGACGTGAGTCTGGGAATAAGATTGACGCATAATCATTTAAAATATTCCAGTGCCTTGCAAAACTCCAGCATGATATGTAATTTAAGATAAGTGTTTGCTTTTGGAGGTTGTTCAATTGAAACATGTGAAATTAAAGAAGTTACCTTGACTTCAAAAAGTATTCTAGGTAAACATTAAGTAGTGAGAACCGGCTCGAACTGGCAAAAAAACGAGTTCCTGTTAATTAAATTCCATTTAAATTAAGTCAAATGAAAAGGAATAAAAATGAAGGTGAAGACACATTTCAACACTGTAAAGACTTAAAGGTTGCTCAATCACAGCTGATGAATTATAGCTCTCTGAGTAATGGCTACTTTCCAATGGTTGATTTCACATAAACTGAGGATCTTCCTGGCCTGAGAACCTGCTTGTATAATGCAAATTAGTCATCTGACAACACCAATCATCATAAAGTTCTTTTATCTTTGAGACATGCCAGGCCCTGCTGAGCACTTTTAGAAAATTGCAATGATGAAGTTTCCAAGTTTAAAGAGAAGACTTCAGTTATGTCTACTTTGAAATGAGGAGTGTTGAACACCATTTGACGGGCCCTGTGTAGTTACATTAACTGTAACTATGTGAGATTGTTGCAGAAGCAGATTACAATTAGCTGTGATAAGGAGTGACAGAAATGTCTGATGATAGAATTATCATTTAAAGAAATGATGCAGAAATGTCAGACTGTGTGTAGAGTATCCCTGCATTATCTTTTAACAGCACACATTAATGGGCTTTTGACCGGTATCGTTTCAAAGTTTAAAGCTGAATTAAGCAGCCACAGAGGGGCCTGCTCTTCTCAGTCTGGAGACATTTGAAATGAAATAACAAACCCAGCATGAGAGTAATTAAGTTTTTTAAGTTAACAAGAGGTGGCATGATGTGTTTATGCCAGGAGCAGTGCAAACATAGTTTATAAAAGGGGGATTCATTAAAAGGGACTTCAGAGCATTATTTGCCTCTTTTTTTTTTTTTAAACCACCATCATTAATAGACATTACTCACTCTTACACCATAAGACCTTTATATTATAACTAATCTGATTTACATTGGATATAGTCTTGATGTGTCTCGAAGCAATGTGTGTGTTTCTTTTTATATATTTGTGCTCTTAAAAGGTATTGATGCTATTCATTTCACTGTCATGAAGATCACCTAGCTAGAGAGTGTGTGCAACTATCACTATTCATTATCTTTTGATCAACCCACAGCGACTGAAATGTTAAATACAGCCAAAGGGTTAAAATGCATCGAATGCAAGTCTTATAACTCATTTGCATTTTACATTGCAAAACATTCTTAGGTTGTCACACAGTTAAAAAAAGCTATAATTGAATTCTGGACTAGACAAATACTTGGAAGTTGGTAACAGACCAAAATACATGTGCCTGTTGTATAAATATCCAAATGAAATTTCCTCTTGTCATCTTCTAAGTCTGCAGAGAAGCTGTAGTGAAACTGAACTGTTTGTTTACTTAAGCAAAGATGCTGACACCTTGTATTCAGACAGTCTGAGTTTTGGTCTGTAGCTTTCTCTGAGGGGTTTTGTTGACTTGCCGTATTAGCCGTTCTGGGAATGAGGGAGGAAACACCCCGCCAAGTCTAATATTGACAGTGTACACACTGTGGACCGCCACACACTGGTATGTGGAGAGTGAAAGGTGGGATTGGGAAGAGTGGAAATTGGGTATAATAAGGAGAGAGGGGAAAGGGAATAGGGAGGAAAGAGGTGCAAAGTGATCAACAGGGGAGAAACGTTGAAAACAGAAAAAGGTGGAGTAGGTGGTAGGGATAAAAAGGATAACATTTAAGGGAGTTAGCTCAGATGGCTTAACAGGTAATGATGTGAAAGTGGAGTGCAAAGTTACCAAAAATAGTATGTTGAGTGGAAACGTATAACTGTAAGTGGCAGGCTGATTTGCAGAAGATAAGTAAATGAAAACGGTTCGAGGATTGAGCGGAGGATTGCGAAGGTTTAAGAACAGAAAGTTGCAGAAACAAATACAAAGATGGTAAGGAGAACATTTTTGAAGTTGCCTAGAATACAGCTCGACTGTGTATGACCAGTGAGTGAAATTAAGGCCAAATTGTTACAATAATAGTCAATATAATTGTCTTTAAACCCCTCCTGAAGACATAAAGTAAGATTGATTGGCTCCCATATATTTGTAAAGAGCAACAGCCAATGGGGAAACTCAGCTCATGTGTGTCAGGCCAGAGTCTTTGGAGTATGTAAAGGTGGAACATCTCTTGGGAAAAAAAAAATAACAAAAGCTCTGTGTCGAATAGGTCAACGCTGCTTGGCAAGGTGCTGCGTGTTGATGTTGAAGACAATGATGAGAGCGTTCCGTACAGCATTCCCCCAGACAACCCGTTCGTGGAGGAGAAAGACTCAAGACCGGGTAAATCCATTTAAGATATTCTTCATGTATTAAATGATCTTGTGTAGTGATTGTTGGGATTAACTTAATATTTAAGACCCAATGCACAAATTGGTAATTCTAATCTTGACTTTATTTCAATTAATAGAACATAAGAGCTCACAAACAATTACTCTTACTCTCCTCTATTCTCTTACTGAGGAAAACAAGGCACAGTAAATGTGCTATCTTTCCAGAAATGTGGCTTTGGTTCTTGTATACAGCCGCAGGCATGCGTGCTGTGTCAGGTTTCAATCGTCTTTCTTCCTTTCTTTACAGAGATTTATGCCTATGGAGTTCGCAACATGTGGCGCTGCTCCATTGACCGTGGTGACCCCGCTACAGGCCGAGGTAGAGGCAGGATGCTGTGTGGTGACGTAGGCCAGAACAAATATGAAGAGGTGGACATCATTTCTAAAGGTATGATGACTTTAAGCATAAATTATACATTATTATCAAGGACGATGTTCAAGATCCTAGATTATGGATCCTAAAAAAGTTGTTTGAAATGAGCTGCAATTGTTGTCTCATCCACATGTCATATACAGTAAAACTCAAAAGACCACACAGGCGCTGAGTCACACACTATAGTTTAATCTCCCTAACAATTAGGTTGAAATGGATCTGAGGGAAAGGGTTAGAAATGCCCCCCAAAAAAGCATGAAATAAACATCCAATTAAAGCTTGTAGAGCAAATCTGTGTGTCTGTTTATAGTCCAGACACTATTTCTGCTGTCCCACAGTGTGTTTCCTGCATTTTGAGACAATTCCATTTAGAAAGAATTGTACTATTTCACTGTGGAGAAACTCTGACTTTGTCTATTCATGTCTATAGGAGGTAACTATGGATGGAGGGCCAAAGAAGGCTTCAGCTGCTACGATCGCAAACTGTGTCAGAACTCCTCGCTAGGTGAGGCCACTGTTCGAGGCTGTTCGTTCACTTCCAAAGTCAAATATTTACACAAAAGGACAGTGACAAGAGCTGTGACACACATCTTTTGACTCCCAGTTTTTTTTATCCACAATTCTACATCAGATATTAGAATTTTAGAATAGGTGTAGCATTACTGTGTGAGAGCCTGTGAACAGTAACTTCTTCATGTTATTTCATGGTCTAATCTGTGGGTGAAGGTGTGCTTTCATATACCCCTAATTCATATTCCTCATTCATTACCTTCAGTGAACTTATTCATGGTTATAGTATTGTCTTCTTGATATGGGGACAGACAACAGTGTAAAACAGACTCATTGTCCTCTGTCTAGATGACATCCTGCCCATCTTTGCCTACCCTCACAAGTTGGGCAAGTCAGTGACTGGAGGATACATCTACAGAGGCTGCCAGATGCCCAACCTCAATGGACTCTACATATTTGGGGATTTCATGAGTGGGTATGTAATTTAAGTTTTATTAATAATAAGATGAAGTCCATCACTTTGCGTTTGAATTGATAGTTGCAATAACCCCACCCCCCAAAAAAAATAAAAAATAATAATAATAATCCAAGCCATCCTGCTCCAAGCCATTTTACTATAAATTAAATTAGCATTGTAGCCTTATGTTCAGAATTGGTCCACTGATGTGGACGGATGTGGTTCAGTGGTAGAGTCAGTCATCTGGTGGACGGTTCAATCCCCTGCTCCTGCAGACACATGTCTGTGTGTCCTTGGCACTTTCTCTGCGTCTAAAAGATGTGTATGAATAGGATTAGTTCATACTGATGGCCACTTTACATAGCAACCTCTGCCATAAATGGGTGGGTGTGACCTGCGGTGGAAAGGCCCTGACACACCGTCGGCTGTCGGTCCTAGTTGGACGGTTAGTGAGCGATCGCCTGCCTAGTTTTTGAGGTGTGTCCTGCTCCATTGCTACCCATCGATACCCATCTGCGGTCTGCGTCAGTGCGGTTTGAGAGTAATCACTGATTGGCTGTTCGTAGGTTTCATTTTACTCCAGCTCTTGACACAGGCTCAGGAAAGCCCCTTGAGCCTGCTGCTGTAGTATCCATGCTTTCACCAATTTAGTGCAGTTTTTCCTTATTTGTCGCCTCTGCCTCTTCTTTTCTTTTTCCAATAAAAGACCCAGGACTGACAACGCCAGTGCCATTTTCAACTTTTTATCAGACATTATTCTTGATTAGAATTACCTATATTATAAGTGGTGATGGTGACCGACAGCAGTGTGAAAATCGTCTTCTAGTATCATAACAACAGACTACTGCCGTCTGCTGGCATAAAGAGTTACTTCCTCTCACGCATGTGCAAACCGTATGTGGTGGTTTGCCGGCAGTTGTAGTCTTTGCTGTGTGTTCAAGTGCTACTTTTTAGCCAAAGGCGTCATGAGTTCTCGCGAGGCCTTCGTTGCCACTGGTTCTTTGCCATCTGCTTTGTGTGTCAAGGCCTTTAAAGCACTTTGAGTAGTCAGAAGACTAGAAAGGGTCATACAAGCTCAAGTCCATTTACCATTTGACCATTTGTGTTTGTAGGGAAAAAGTGCAGAGTCTTTCCCCAGTTAGGGTCTAGCCAGATATTGACCCTAAATACTACATGGGTCAATCTTTGTCTTTTAAGTTTGGATGTTTAGCTAAACCTTCTTATAAATCGTATAATCCACTGGCACATCCAGAAAAATCATAAGTGACTCTGGAGAAAAACAAGAAAGAAATAAGGAGTGTTAGACATGCACAGGCCTGATTTCAATATTATAGTAAGAATACATGCAAGTGAAAGCTTTTGTGCTGTTTGGTTCTTTTCAGGCGTCTGATGTCTCTGAAGGAGAGTAAAATCACCGGGGATTGGCAGTTTAACGAGGTCTGCATGGGGAGAGACCAGACCTGCAGGTTCCCCAAACTCATCAACAGTCACTATAAATACATCATCTCTTTTGCTGAGGATGAAGCAGGTAAGAACCGTGCCTGTGCTTGTGTAATTTACCTTTATTGTTAAATTCATTTGGATGTGACAAGTAAAAACAGCAACAAAAAAAAAAGAAAAGCTGACATATAACCTACATAATGTATTCTGAAAACTTATACATAATGAGGTGATTCGGCAAAAAGTAAGTTGTGTGTAAAAGGTTTGTTAATGTGTTTTCATCTTGTGAACTTGTTGATCGTATTAAATTACTTCTTAACTGTTCCCATTTCTAAGGAGTTAAAAGCAGCCAGGAGAGAATTTTCTTTGGCTCTAAATCTGGTTTGAATTAAAGAGACTGCTGATTTACCAGGAGGAGTGTTGCACACATGCTGCGCTGGCCTTAAATAATCCTTTTCTTTTACTCTTAAAGTGTCTTGGAGAAGATTTAAGATGAAAAGTTCAAGCAAAGTCCACATCCTGTCGCTGTATAAACACCCTTTGTAACTTGTTATGTGTGCTCTCTCCTATTTCCTGTTTTGCTTTATTCATGGCGCTCTCTTTGACTTTCTTGATCTCTCCCCCATCCTAACTTGTAAATACCAGCTTCCTTCTTCCCTTTCTACCTTTAGTTCACCTTTCCCCTCTTTCTTCTCTCTGTTTCATATATGTCATTTTGTTTTTTGGCCATTACCCTTCACATATTGCTGTCTGTCTCACACTCGCTCCCTTAACTCTCTCCATCTCTGCAGGTGAACTTTACTTCTTAGCCACTGGAAAGGCGAGTTCCACAGCCAGAGCAGGAATCATTTATAAGATAGTGGACCCTTCAAGGTAGCACTTCAACAACACTTATCACTCACAAGTGTGATGTAAAATGTTGATGTAAAACTTAAAAATTCTGAAATATGATTGGGCTGTTAAAGTGCTATGATGGTCGAGAGTATGTGGGTCTTTTTAGTCAAGTACACCCTTACTTTCAATCGCATTACTCCCAACGGATTAGGATTGGCCAAACTGATCTCAGTAATGATAATAATATAGATTTCTTCAGGAGGAAAACATGTACAAATCCAATCTACATGGACTTTTATTTTGTAACATCACAATGTGTAGACTTCCTGTTCAGTTCAGTATTTGGTCCAAAGTACTCTAAAGTCAGAGGCTGACTGAACAGCATTTTTGAGTGGTCATTGATCTTATAGGAGGACATCACATAAACAGACATTTTTAATAAGTCTCTCTTCAGAGTTGTTTTTTAAAGAACTGTGACCAGGATTTGAAAAGATCAAGACATTGAATTAAAACAAAGCAATGATTTCAACCAGGGCCTTCTCAAAAAAACAAACAAAGTAACATGGCAGATCTATCTTGTTCTGAGAAAGAATACACAGGTTATAATGTCTCTGTGATGATGTCCCCAATTTACCTGTCCAGCTGTAGTAAGCCTAGAAATGATGACCTTATAGAATACACTTAAACATTTAAAAAAGTACTTTTAGAAAATCTCCATAAATATGTAATGTGTTACATCATGCATGTGCTTTTTTATATTTCCTAACCACGCAGGCGAGCACCACCAGGAAAATGCAGCATCAAGCCTTTGCCTGTTCAAATAAAAGGAAAACTGATTCATTTCTACCCAAAAGAAGGTAAGGGGAGTCTTTAGCTTCCCTTTTAGGCATTTTGTCTACTCAATGCAAGCAAAATAATCATGTGTATTGATATCATTATTGTTTTGCTCTGCAAAATTGAGTTAAGTTATGCAGTGTAGAGATATGTATAGATTTTCTTACACATATTACGATGTCTTATTTGTTCCTTTCTGTTAATTTTCAGAGTTTACTATGAACAAGAAACCCACCACCACACCTGTACCCAAAACAACCACAACAACAAAAACACCCCCAAAGAGAAAATCAACATCTATAAAAATAATAAAACCACCAATGCCAACAAGAAAAACAATAAGAAAAACATCACTACCACCACCACCAACAACAGCATCAACAACAAAAACAACAGCAAAAACACCAATAACACCAGCTCCAACAGCTGAAACAACAAAGACAACAAGAAAGCCAATGAGAAATACACCAACACCAGCAACAACAAGAAAGCCAATGAGAAATACACCTACACCAACACCAACACCAGCAACAACAATGCCAACTATCAAAGCAACAACACCAACACAAACGACTCCAGCAACAACAGTAAATCCAACAACTGTCCAGAGGGCCGTGGCAACAACCCCCGCCAGAACCACACCCACGGGTAGGCCTACTGGTGCACCTGTTTACCCAGCCAGCTCCACCCATTACCAAAACACTCAGTCATCTTTGTACACAACCGTTAAGTCAACTGTTAGAAAGACCATTGAACCCACCAGTAGACCAGTGCAGGACGTAGTGCGGGGAAAAGCCACGAGTGTCAGACCAGACGGTTTCTTCTTCTGCGCTCTATTGTTGCTTTACATGCTAACATGCTAATAGCTACAATGACATTTTCCAACTCATCTCCTGCCATATCTTCAGATTGAAGATTGTGCGTAATTTTCTTTTACCGTGAATAATATGACTTGGCATCTCTGATACAACGACAGATAACTGTCTGCTTCCTAGCTACGCATATCACCTACAGGCTGTTAAATAACTCGTAATTAATATGTATAAATCACACAATACAAATTATGAAATAATTTAAATGGTTTGGCAGCTAGATCAAAGTTACTGTATATGGACGCTAGGTCTGTATGAGAGAAGAATATGAACAGAGCTACAGCTCTTGTTTTTTCAAGACATTTCTGGCATTAAGAAAACAGAAAGAAATGATGAAAAAAGTACAAAATACTAATAATACTTTTATTTGAATAACACTTTTCAACAAGGAGCACAAAGTGCTTTTCAGAAATTGTGCACAAGAAAACGCCACAAATAATCAGTCTAATACAAGCAGATAATGAAAAGAAAGAATTTACAAACAGCTCAACTTATTAGAACAACTGAAATCATTATAAATTCTCTTTTGTTTTAATTCACATCAAGCTGTCTTTGTAGCAAGCCAATCGATGCAATTTAGTTTTTGTGTTCAATCAGTTTTGCACTTTATTTGTACCTCCTCTGCACTACAAAAGTAAATGAAAAAAAATCAAAGAAAGCATGTAATACATCATACTTACTTCTTAGAATTAAATTAGACATTAATTGTATGAATTCCATAATTTATAGTCAAATTGTTAGAATCTTTATTTTTAATTACTGTAACATTTCCTTTTTCTACTTTTGCTTCTTTTCTGATGTCTGATACAAAGCAAACCCCCTCGTTCGCTTTTACAAATCATATACTGTGGATGGTGAGGATGAGCCTTTTGCACAAGCTTGTGTCAAACTCAGGTACAGGAGAGTTAGGCATGCCAGAAGTGGCATTAATTCCCAAACTTAACCTCCTGCCTGCGTTTAATTCTTTGGCTGGTACAAGAGTCTAAAGCAGGATAAATGGTGCTTCTTTATGTTGGGTATTTGCACTACTTTGATTTAAGTCAGGCACTTTGGTGTTATTTATTTTGAATAAATGGTTCTGCATCAGCTCCAGTTTGGACATTCATCTTTGTGTCTTTGTGTTAATGTCTTTCCCTTGTCTGTTCTTAAGGATAACGTTGCTTGTTTGATCTTTTTAGCCAAATCAGAGCTTTTTAAAACAGAGATCAATCCAGATGACCAAATGTGTGTAATAGTGTAAGAACTGTTTTCATGTTTGGAAGTATGCTTCTTTGTTTTCCTGAACATTTTCTTGGAGTTGCCACTCTTGTAACATGTAAGATGACAACAAAAGATTTCAGTTACCATAACTGTAGTCAGTTAACATCTGTAGCTAAAAACCGTTAGCATTAACTTAGCATACAGACTAGGAACAGCTAGCTTGGCTCTGTCCAGAGGAAACAAACTCCAGTTATAAGAAACTCTAAAAAACTACCAACAGGTTTTTATCTTTAAAAAATGTTGAAAAAACTGTTGTGGATTTAGTAGGGTTATGTGACAGTTTCTTAGCCTAATGACTTTCTGGACACTTTGAAACTTTGGCTTTTATTTGTTACAACATTGTCGTGTGCCAAATGTAATACAGCACCGATAGGTCGGTCTTGGTACCTTTGGAAAGACCCAAGCCAGCTTTCTTTCCTGTTTTCACCTGTTTTCAGGCATTTTGCTACGCTAAGCTCACCTGCTGCCGACATAGCTTTGAATATAACATACAGATACTAGAGTTGTGTAAACCTTTGTATCTAACACTTGCATAGAACGTTTTAAAAAATAATGATGTATAAAAGAGAAAAAAATATATTTTTTAGAGATACATTTAGTCATATTTTAAACTACATATATTCAAATAAAGAGGGTGATTCTGTCTCTCCCTCAGGTTATCGAACAACCATCATGACTGCAGCCTTCTCTAAGATTGCTCAAATCCCAATCATCACCACACCTCAAACCAGGAGACATGGGAAACCCCTTCAATACCCCCAGGGTACAACCTCCCAACCAATAACCACACTACAGCCCACTCCTCAGGCCACAACACGGCTGCCATATTGGAGCCAGAGACCGATGGCGTCTCCTCAGAGACCACCAATCAACACATCGCTGCCTAAATCCCAGGAGGAGAGGCTGTGGATTGGAGTGAAGATGGAAAGTGCCGGGGAGGGTAACCAGGTATTTAAGAGGCCCCGAGGAAGAGATAGAGGTCGCGGTTACAAGAGAGGAAGAGGAAGAAAGCTACGGGTCGGCTCTGTGCGACTGGTGAGCGCTGACGGTTTATCAGATCGAGGAAGAGTTGAGATCTTTATACGTGGGGAGTGGGGGACAGTGTGCGACGACCTATTCAACACCAAGGCAGCTACTGTAGTGTGCCGACAGCTCGGCTTCACGACCGCATTTGCAGTGATGAAAAGAGCTGCACTGGGGGAGGCAGACAGGAGCGTCAGGATCCTGTTGGATGACGTGGAGTGTGAGGGTGGGGAGGGATCGCTCTTAGAGTGCAAGAGGTCCAGAGTTGGGAAACACAACTGCACACATGGGGAAGATGTAGGGGTGATCTGCGGTTAGCACGGAGGAATTGAAATTCAAAGCAAAGTTTAGGAAGTCAAGGAGAAGATGGTGTATATCACAAACAGGAAGGTGTAGATGCATAATATAGGTAATATCAGCTTGCATACATTTGAGGATATGCTTAATTCTTCATATTTTCATGTTTTACATATGTGTTTGAGCCTCTCCCACTGCTTATGGCAAAGAATGTCTATATATATATAGAGGATACTTTTTTCATTTTTTAACCCCCAATGCTCAAAAGCATCTCCTGAACTCACTCAGTCCCCTTTTTATACTCAAACTATTTTTTATAGTGTTTTTTAGTTTGTAATTTTAAATGACACTCCAAACTTACTTCACAGGTATTCAAAGTCTTGATTCCCGTCTGTCTGCAAAGTTGTGTATATGATATAACAGAGGGGTATTGATTGCTGTGTCTTTGTTATATCTGAAAATCTGCATGTTAGACTTTATTTTTATCACATGTTCTAGAGTCGAAATTTGACATCTCAACACAAAAATGGACCTAATGTGATTCCCTGAGACAAAGAGCTTTATTATATTGTTTTTCCCACTTGCTCACAGTAGATGTGTGTTACACAGAAAACAATCTTAAAAACATTGCAACTGGAACTGTTATTAAAAAAACAATAGTTTTAAAGAATATGAATGAATATCATTTATCGAAAACTTTTAACATGGACTGAGTGAATCTTGGAGAAACTTAACTTTGTATGTTTTGGCTGTATGTGTTCTGTTTACACTCTTAAAATATATTCATTGTAAAACAACGCACATCCTGTTAAAATAGTCTTTTGTTTTAAGAATATATTTGTATTTTTGTATTGCATCATTTCAGCAGTGTCTTTTTTAAATACCATTTTAATACTGTTTTTGAATGTAGTTTTAAGATTAAAAAAATGTACAATCTAAAGAGTTTGTAACATAAAATGCAGGGCATTCTTTCTGATGAATGTAAAAAAATGTTTCCAGTGTTATATAAAGAGATCTGAGGGCACAGGGTGCTCACCTTATGTATAAAGTTTTTTTGCAAATGAGTTACGTCTTCCGTTATCATTATCATTCTCTTTCATCTTTCTATAATGTCCTTAAATTAGGATGGACCCCCCCCCCCCCCCCCCCTTGTGACTGGACCCCAGAAAGCTTTCCACTTCTCCCCCCCCACCCCACACACACACATTTTTTTCACATACAAACACACAGAAAAAAGAACAACTTAAACGGGGAGCACTGTATCTGCCTATATAACAGACATTTTGAGAGAACAAGCATTGTTGGCATTTCAAGTAGGCTATTCAACAACATCTTGTGATCTGAAACAGAATTTGTTTAGGGGGTCAGAAGGTCAAACTGAACTGTCTAATTCTTTAAATGTTTAGAGAGAAAACAGACAAGAATAGTTCTAATTGATGACAGTTAGGCCATGTGGAAGCCAGGTCACTGCATTTCTTTATAATGTATTTAAAATGCGACCAAAACCATCCACAGAGGAGCTTTTGGGTTTCAGACATTTTTTGGCAGAATCTTTTCCCTTAAATTCCTCTAAACCCCTCTTTATTTTCTCCTGTGTTCAATTTTTAAGTGGAAGTCAGCCACAGTCACATGACAAGCAATGCTTACTCCAGCAGCTAAATTGAATGATGTGTACATATATAAGCCGCACTGGACTATAAGCCGCAGGTGTTTTAATGTTTAATTACCATATGTAAGGGTTCATGCACAGAGGGGATTGTCGGGAAAGAGATGGCTGCTTGAGGAAGCTCCCATTTAGCTGCATCATATGCATTTCTACGTTTGTTTTCCATAATGAGGGTTTGTGCATGAAAACTTCCTTTGCACAAACTGTCTCGCTCTCGTAATGTCTGTCTGTCTTGCTCTCGTTCTGTCTCTCGTACCACTCTCGGTTCCACTTTTACTTTTGCGCGCTACCTGTCTCACTCTTTTCCGGCCTCCAGCTTTTCCTGCTGGAGCCCGCCGCTTAAAGGTGGGGGGGGGCGCGGACCGGTCATAGAGCCCATAGAGTTAAAGTTGGTGGACTGTAACCTGTAAAATCCATAGATTTAGGAGGTCCCCTAGTGGCCGTTAGCTGTAAAAATCCATAGATTAGCCGCACCGTTATATAAGCCGCAGGGTCGAAAAATGGGAAAAAAGGCGCGGCTTATAGTCCGAAAATTACGGTATATGCTGTCATGGATATAAGAATATCTTCATGATTTTCAGCCAAACAGGCTGAACTTACATCTGAACCGTATGGAAAAAGAATAAATTAGCAATAAAGAAAAGAAAAACAGATTAAATGAATCATCTCCACTTCACTCTGTGGAGGGAGCGTTTCAAATCAGTTGAACGTGAGAAAATGCCAGCCAACACATTATTTTGCACCTTAATGTAGCACTTAACTGAGTTTGTTTTGCAGGATTTACAAATCCACATAAAGAATATCTGAATTATGAAATGACTTCATTCACTTTAAAATAACAGACACCAACACACATCTTAAAGGATTGCTGCATTACAAGATATAAGAAAAGCCAACACCTCTGATACGTGATGTGCTGTTAAGCATTAAGCATAAATGTAACAAGGTGTAACATAAAGCTCAGTCAGACACGATGACATGAATGAATGTACGGCGTATGCATGTGTGTGTGTGTGTGTGTGTGTGTGTGTGTGTGTGTGTGTGTGTGTGTGTGTGTTTTAACATCATGTCTGTAGGTGTTTTTGTCAGTATAGATACATACTGTCATATACAGTATTGCTGCTAAGTGTCAGTTTGAGTCTTCCTATGAATTCCAACTGACCTGAACTGCCTGCACTAAAATATTTTGTTTCAATATGTGAGTCTTATTTCGAAGCCAAACAGGCTCCTGTGAGTCAGTCAGGAAGGTCAGGGGGACTGGAACAGGTGATAGCACGCAGTTAACCAACTCTCAGTTTCTCTGGTGAAATAATAACATATATGGTTAATATAGAGGAAACAACAAGTTATAACAAATCTATGTTTCTTTTGTTCACAAACACTGTAACACAATTAATGCCATATTATTTTACTTCTGCTCCAGACCAGAGGGAGGCAGTCTCGTTTCACTTAAAAAAGATGGTTAGAACCCTTCATGTGTTACTGTTCAGAAAATATCTTCATTTGTTTGCATAATTAATACAAAATTATTACATTATTTTTCAATGCAACCCCAAAGGACTGTAGCTTAATTAAAAATAACCAACTCTGGTTTATAGTGAACTTGTGGACATGATCAATTTCTTTGATATTGATGAAGAGAGCTCAGCATGGTTTTCTTACCACAAGGAATTGAAATAAAAGGCATATAGGCTACCAAACGAGTAACCAAAGTGAAACCATCACCTTCCTGTCCACTCATAAATCAACATTCATCCAAAACAAGTATGATCGTATGAAATTAATCGTTACATTTATGAAAGATATACATAAGCATGATGTTTTAAGCATACAAATGTACAAATGCACAAAGCATTCTGAAGTGAACGAAATATGTTGAATAAAACATCATCTGGCTAAAAATGTCCCTTAATGGTTCTGCGTCCCTCCACGGTCATCGTTAATTTTCGTGAACAGTCGGATGCAGGACTCGCTTTATGTGTTGCGGCCGCAAGGATTTGTGGGACGGCATATCTCATCTCCTTTCGTGACCATGCCGTGTATACACTAATGGTGAATATTGTGACCTTAATTTAAAGTGCTACCCCATGTATGTCCTCTAACTTAAAAAGCTTCTCCAAAGCAGAGGGTGAGTCCTGCTGATCGGCATAATGTGTTCAGCAGAGGATGCAGATTCAGTGACCAACACTAACATGTTTAGCTCTCTTGGTTAGCATCTTTAATATAGCCTGAAATGCACATGAATGTTGTTATTGAAAATGTGCAAAGGTCTGTCAGTCTTCTTGGAATCCTCATTCTGAACTTGAAACATTGCTCATTTTCATTCGTTGATAGCGTCCATAGCAACCACCATAGCAACAGTAGAAAACGTAACAGTCCAACGTTTTTCTATCGAGACCTGAAAGAATCTTCGTAAAAACGAACAAACTAAAGATCATAAACATAAACCGAACGAAGATTATGAAGATACAATGTACATTTGTTGTCAGAAAGGTTATCAAAACGACACTTAAGCCTCAAACTATCTTAAAATATTGCATTTTCCGCCGGAAATAGAAGGGATGTCCGCCATGTTTTTTTTTTCGCCAGGGGAAAACTGGGCAGTCACGTGACCTGAGGTATGCCTATACAAAAGAATAGACAAAAGGAAACGTAGGCATGTCACAATTTTAGAGCCCTTATTGTGAAACTACTACGTTTTGCGCTGTGGACCAACGTAGGTATTACACATTTTGACATGAGACTGGGTTGACTCAGATGTGTGGTGACAAACTCGTTTGAGTCTAGAGGTACAATGAGAAGTCCTGCACAAATACAGGGACATCATTTCACAGTCAAAAAAAATCTTCTTTTACTTACCAGTGGAGGAAGGCCTTGCGGCGGAACATAGCAGTAAACTGCTCCGAGATGCGTTTGAACAGCTCCTGAATGGCTGTGCTGTTGCTGATGAATGTGGCGGCCATCTTGAGACCGCGGGGAGGGATGTCACAGACGGTGGTCTTGACGTTGTTGGGGATCCATTCCACAAAGTAGCTGCTGTTTTTGTTCTAAACATTAAGCATCTGCTCATCTACCTTCTTCATTGACATGCGGCCTCGGAAGATGGCGGCGACTGTGAGGTAGCGCCCGTGGCGTGGGTCACAAGCTGCCATCATGTTCTTGGTGTCAAACATCTCCTGGGTGAGTTCAGGAATGGTCGGTGACCTGGAAAAAGACAAGATAATGGAGTTGAGATTCATGTCACATGCATTTGAAACAACAAAGTGAGGGTTTGATTAAGTGTGTAAAAAGCATGCTTGTGCCTCTCTACCTGCACTGCTGGCTGCCGCGGCTGGTCAGGGGGGGCGAAGCCCAGCATGAAGAAGTGCAGCCTGGGAAAGGGCACCATGTTCACGGCCAATTTCCTCAAATCGCCGTTGCGCTGCCCGGGGAAGCGCAGGCAGGTGGATTTGCTTCTCAATTATTCTAAAATCTTTCCTGCAGAATAATCTTACTGATTCAGGCGAGTTGACTGGATGATCGTAAAAATAATATAAAGATATGATATGATGCATCCTTAGACACAGGTCAGGCATCATTACAACAATGCAGTGAAAACGTTATTTATGATGACAAAATAATACCAGTTTCTATGATACACTAAACAGAATGATGTTTACTCCTGGGTTAAGACACACAGGATATTGGTTTTCATTTCAAACAGAGACACTTACGTCTGGAGGTGTAATTCAAATCAAAATACACCTGCATCTTGATTGTGTCGAGGGACGGGCTGCACTTCTCCATCAGTTTATCCAGACACAGCTGTGAAGAGCAAATCAGTGACTAGTCCAAGGTTTTTACACTAATAAATTGAACTCATTTACAGTTAAATAGCCGTTTAAATCAATGAATAAATCCTTCAAAATGAACAATAAATATTTTATAACCTTTAAAAGATGTATTTTTTCTATGTCAATTTAAAATACAAATGTTGCGGCTTCACCTCATGACATCAGTATTTAGAAATTCCTTTAACAACATAAATCTCAGGAAGTGTATTTGTCTAATCTTTCTTGTTTTTATTCCAATGGTTTATTCTGATGATTTATTATTTTATTTTTAATCTCTGTAGCACTTTGAGATTTTTTCCAAAAATATAAAGTGCATTACAAATAAAATGTATTACTATTATTATTATTATTATTATTATTATTATTATTATCTCTGGTTAAAAAAAATCTAATTACATGAATTACAAGGCACATTTAATGACAAGTCCCTCCCACCCACCCAGCCAGAATGTGCTCAGGCATTTCTTCATGATGTGACTGACGTACTGTACAGAGAGGGTTTTTACACAGATTTTGAAAATACTCATGAAAGTATAGAACTTCATTGTTCACGGAAAACGGAAAA